GAAGTTGGACGCTTAACCGATTGAGCCACCCAGGTGTCCCTTGCTGAAGTATTTTAAAATAAATCCCAGACATATCATTTCATTTCTGAAAACTTCAGTATTGTTGTAGAACTGTATTCACCATTGTGGGAGCATATCATCATAATATATAATTGTCAGATCCTATTTGTATGCCTCAACTACCAAAGTACTTTAACTATACTTCAGTTAAGAAAAAGTTAAGAATTTTTATTTATTATTTTTTAACTTAAGTATTTTTTTCTTTCTTTTTTTTTTTTTTTAAGTTTATTTTGAGAGAGAGGGCACTCAGGCGAGGGAGGGGCAAAGAGAGAGGAAGAGAGAATTCTAAGCAGGCTTTGTCGGCTTAACGGACTGAGAGCCACCTAGGTGCCCCTAAACTTAAGTATTATTTTCTTTTTTTTTTTTTAGTGTTTTTTTTTTGTTGTTTGTTTGTTTTTATTTCTAGGGGAGAGAGAGAGACAGCGTGAGCAGGGGAGGGTGAGAGAGAGAGGGAGTCACAGACTGAAACAGGCTCCAGGCTCCGAGCTGGCAGTCAGCACAGAGCCCGACGAGGGGCAAGAACCCAAGAACCGAGAGATCATGACCTAAGCGAAAGTCAGACGCTTAACCGACTAAGCCACCCAGGCGCCCCTAAGTATTATTTTCTATTAAGAACTTTTTTTAATGTTTATTTTTGAGAGATAGAGACAGATCATGAGCAGGGGAGGGGCAGAGAGAGAGGGAAACACAGAATCTGAAGCAGGGTCCAGGCTGTGAGCTGTCAGCACAGAACCTAATGTGATGCTTGAACTCACATACTCAGATCATAACCTGAGCCGAAGTCAGAGGCTTAACAGACCAACCGAGCCACCCAGGTGCCCCAAACTTAAGTTTTTTGGGTTTTTTTTTTTTTTTTTTTTAATGTTTATTTTTGAGAGAGAGAGAGAGACAGAGCCTGAGGTGGGGAGGAGCAGAGAGGGAAGGAGACACAGAATCCAAAGCAGGCTCCAGGCTCTGAGCTGTCAGCACAGAGACTGACGCGGGTTCGAACTCATGAACCGTGAAATCATGACCTGAGCTGAAGTCAGACCCCTAACCGACTGAGCCACCCAGGGGCCTCCCTTTGATTCTTTATCACAACCTTCTTGTAGTAGTTCTCAAAGTTATATTTAACTAATAAACCTCATTTTTGGGACAGTTTTAGGTTCACAGCATTTTGAGTGGAAAGTACAGAGAATTCCCATAGGCTTCCTGTGCCACACCTGCATGGCACCTCCCTCATCAACATCCCACACCAAGTGGTACGTTTGTTACAATCCATGAATTTACATTCATGTATCATTATCTGTCCGTAGTTTGAATTAGGGTTTACTCTTGGTGAGTGAATTTTCTGAGTTTCTGTGAGTTTTGACAAGTATATGGCCTGTATCCACCACTGTATCATACAGAATAGTTTCACTGTCCTGAAATTCCTCTGCTCTGTCTCTTCCTCCCGTCAGTCCCTGAGAACAGCGGATCTTTTTTTTTGTCTCTTTACTTTTGCCTTTTATAGAATGTTGTATATGTAGCCTTTTTTTAAAAAAAAATTTTTTTATATCTTTGAGAGACAGAGTGAGTGGGGGAGGGGCAGAGAGAGAGGGGGAGACAGAATCTGAAGCAGGCTCCAGGCTCTGAGCTGGCTGTCAGCACAGAACCCAATGCGGCGCTCGAGCCCCCAAACCGTGAGGTCATGACCTGAGCTGAAGCCGGACGCTTAGCCAACTGAGCCACCCAGGCGCCCTAGTATGTAGCCTTTTCAGGTTGGCTTCTTTGACTTGGTAAATAGGCAGTTTAGGTTCCTTCATGTCTTAGTAACTCATTTCTTTTTGGCCCTGAATAATACTGCGTTGTCTGGATGTATACCCCAGTTTATCCACCTGCTGAAAAATACCTTTGTTGCTTCTCAGTTTTGGCAGTTCTGAAAGCTGCTCTAAACCTCCGTATACAGGTTTTTGTATGGATATAAGTTTTCCACTCCACTCCTTTGTATAAATGCCAGGGAAGGCGATTGCAGGATCATATGGTAAGAATATGTTTCATCTTGCACTAAACTGCCAAACTGTCTTCCAGAGTAGCCTTGCCGTGTTTTTATTTCCATAAGCGGTGAGTGAGTGTTGCTGTGACTCCACATTCTTACCTGCACCTGATGTCCATTATTTTGGATTTGGGCCATTGTGATAGCAGTGTAGTGGCATCTCGTTGTTTTAATTTGCATGACACACTGTAGAACATCTTTCCACATGCTGACCTGCTATCTGTATGTCTTCCTGGTGAGGGGTCTCTTTGGGTCTTTGGTCCATTTTTTAATACAGTTGTTCATTTTCCTTTTACTGGGTTTTAAGAGCTCTTTGTATATTTTGAATAGCAATCCTTTATCAAATGTCTCTTTTGCATATATTTTTCCCCAGTATGTGGCAAGCCAGTCATCTCATCTTCTTGAGTCTCAGGCTAATTTGATTTTTTTTTTCTTTATTTCTGGAATGTTTGTTAGGTATGGAATTAACCGCCTATGGGCAGATGATTCACAAAATTGCATCTTGCAGGGCAGAAACTAGTTTGGGTTAGGGTCTAGACCTATCTTGTTCTTTGTTTCAAGAGCACCTCACACTTGGTATGTTAAGTAAAATGTGTGCTCTTCCTTTAAAACCTGTTTTTTTTCTTAAGGTGTCCTACTTCAGCTCAGGTCATGATCTTGTGGTTCACGAGTTCGAGCCCTGCATCGGGCTCTCTGCTGTCCGTGCAGAGCCTGGTTTGGATCCTCTGTCTCCCTCTTGCTATGTCCCCTTCCCTGCTCATTCATGCAAAGATAATAAACATTAAAAATAATAAAACCTGGTTCTTTTTCCTGTTCAGTGCATAGCAAGCACCACCATTCCCCAGTAGGGAAGCGAGGTAACACCAAAGCCACGCCTTCTGCTTCCGCCCTGTATCTGTCCCCTTTCACCAGCTCCAGCCTTGCTTTATGGAATGTACTTTTCTTCCATTTCTTTCCATGTAACTGCTGCTCACTTCTCAGATTCAGCATGAGCTACTTCTGCCGGGAAGCCTTCCTGGATCTCCCTGAATATGTCTGCTGACACCTAGTCTAGATATCCGTGACCCTCGACCCTTACTTTGTAAGTTGGCATGGTTGCCATTTGACATTTATTTCTCCCTACATGTTCACCCCCTTGTAGGGGAGGCTCCGTGTCTGTTTTTACTCAACGTCTTTGTCCTTTGATATCCCGCACAGTAACTAGTATGTGGTCTGTGGTCAGTAAATGTGACTGACTGGAAACTTGTATATGGCTCCTGTCTGCATTCAGAAATTTTACCAGGATTATATATAGATGGATATGCATCTTTTATTAACCTTGCACTAGATCTAGTGGGGTGGTTTTTTTTTTTTTTTTCCCATTCTCAATCACATGACTCAAGTCCAGGGAAGTTTTTTCTGTTACTCTATGTGTTTTGTATCCTCCTTCCAGTAGATGCTTGGGAGGTTTTCTGGTTTTGTTCCTCAAAGCTATGGTATTGACCTATGGTGTTGACTGAGTCCTATTTCCCCTTTCTCTTCTGTTCCTATGCTTCATTAATAACCACTCGATTTGTTTATTTACCCTGGTCCCCTTCCATGGAGCTGCTGAATCCTCTTAAAGGGGCTATAGTTTTTCTTCTCATACCTGCAAGTTCAGGCATTTTGGGTTTTGACAACAGTGATGAGTCAGCACGTGGTACGATTTTTAGTAGATCAGCAGTCAGCTGAAATGAGTACCTACTAGGCTTTGCAGAGGAAAGAGATTAAGGAACAGGTATCCCAGCTGTTGTCCAAAGTGTGTGTATTGTGCATACCCACTTCTCATCCCTGTTAATTAAGGGATGAAGGAAGAGGGGTGGTCCCTTTCTGCCATGCAGGGTCAGAACAGGAGGGTTGAATGATTACAAATGAACATGAACAGCCTAATTGAATCTCCCTAAGCAAAGGTGTAAGGCCTCTGTGAGGTGGGAGTACGCCCGGATTTTAGTTATTCTGTTCCCCTCAGGATAGGTCTTAATATTTGCATCCTGAAAAGTGATATTCTGAATTGACTTAAGATCAGTTTTAAGAAATATTCTTAATGTTAACTTTCTCTGTAATAAGAGGCTTCTGTTTTTCCATTTGTGTGAGATTCTATCCAAGTCACCTTAGACTTTAAAAATTTGGTATGTACACTCTTTTTAAAAAATGTTTTAAGTTAAAACCATTTTTGAGTGTGGGGGGGGGAGGGGCAGAGAGAGGGGCGTGGATCTAGGATCCACAGTGGGCTCTGCACTGACAGCCGCAAGTCTGTTGCTAGGGCTCGAACTCCTGAATGGTGAGATCATGACCTGGGCCAAAGTTGGATGCTCCACCTACTGAGCCACCCAGGTGCCTGTGGTGTACTCTGTTTAATTTTTTTTTTTTTTTTTTTTTTACTGTTTTATTTATTTCTGAGAGAGAGACACACATACACAGAATCTGAAACAGGCTCCAGACTCTGAGCTGGCAGTCAGCACAGAGCCTGATGCGGGGCTTGAACCCACGGGAGATCATGACCTGATCTGAAGTCCAACACTAAACCGACTGAGCCACCCAGGTGCCCCTGCTGTACTCTGTTTTAATGTTAATTTTCCTGTAATCTATTTAGTCCTGGGCAGTGAACATAGGCAGCAAAGTTAATAGTATGGGAAACTGGCCAATTTCCATCGTTATTGGTTGAGTTATGGCATTCATATCTTTACTTGAATGGGGTTTTAATAATCATATTGTATGAATTTTGAATTCTGTTGGGCTTTTTTTGTTTATGTGCATATAAACACAAGGTTTATATCTTGTTACCCTTTATATTGAATTGATGTGGAGTACTCACAGTTTCTATAATAATCACGTTTATATTCTTGGTTACTGTGCTTCTCGAAATAATTCTTAAATAAACAAGTTATTTTTTTTATATTTCAGATAATATATTTTTACAAGATTTTTGAGTTTGGGGGAGTCTAGCAGACCCGCAAGAACAAAAATTACTCATCAGGAAAATAACGTATCCACAATGTCCCGTATACAGTCAGAAATTGCTAGACTTGCAAAGAAGCAGGAAAATATCACTCCTAGGCAAAGAATTCAGTTGATAGGAACTGACCAGGAAATGGCTCAGGTATTAGATTTAAGATGCAAAGACATGTCAGCAGTTATGCTGATGAAGTTTAAAGGCTTGATGGAAAATTTGGACTTAATGATTGAAGAGATAAGGGATTCTTTTAAAAATGACCTAAAGGAAATATTAGGAGTAGAAAGTAAAATACCTGAAGTGAAAAATCCAAAGAACTCCAGTACCACAATGGAGTGCCAACAGATAAAAAAACAAAAGCCAGAATTGGTAAAGAAAACAAAAGGAGCAAACTCTAAAATAGTTGAGGATCCTGAAAATTTGACTTTTAAAAGAAAAGAAATAATTGAGCCAAGTAGCAAATTAGACGAAACTGAAGAGTACAGTACTGACCAAGGTAAGGAATTGTCCTATGATGAGTCACAAAATCGCAGAGTCAAGGAAAGTATGGAAAAAGCCATAAGCAATATAGACACTTGTGGAAATAGTAGTATCCATATGGAAGTAACAAGAGAGATTGGAGAGGATGAAGTGGTCAAAGCAAAAAGAGAGGAAAAAATTCCTCAGAATTTTAACAATAAAGTGAAGATTCTAAAAACCTCCAGAGAAGATGAAGGATCAGTACTTACATTGGCAGCAGACTTTTCATCAGCAACACTGTATGTCAGTAAGCAATGGAGTAATGTCTTCAGCATTCTGAGGGAAAATGATTTTGAACCTAAAGTTCTATGTCAAGTTAAATTAGCATTTAAGTGTGATGGTGAAGTAAGGACCTTTTCAGATATTCAAAGCCTCACCAATTTTACCAGCCAAAAACCATTTCTGAGAGAATTACTGAAGGGTATACTCCCACACAGTGAGACAATAAAGAAAGGAGGAAGATATGGGATTCAAGAAAAAGTGGTAAGTAAATACGTCTATGGACTTTATGTATGAAGTATAATAGTTGGTAAAGTTATTTTGAAGTTTAAACCAATTTTTAAGAAATAGTTCCTTAAAGGGGCGCCGGGGTGGCTCAGTTGGTTAAACATCCAAAGCTCAGGTTATTATCTCACAGTTGGTGAGTTCGAGCCCTGTGTTGGGCTCTGTGCTGACAGCTCAGAGCCTGGAGCGTGCTTCTGTGTCTCCTTTTCTCTGCCCCTCCCCTGCTCATGCTCTGTCTCTCTTTCTGAAAAATAGATAAATATTTAAAAGAATTCCTTTAAAAAAAAATCCTTAGACTGGGGCTACTGGGTGGCTTAGTCGGTTAAGCGTCCGACTTTCGCTTAGGTCATGATCTCGCGGTTCGTGGGTTCGAGCCCCGCGTCGGGCTCTGTGCTGACTACCAGGTCAGCCTGGAGCCTATTTCACAGTCTGTGTCTCCCTCTCTCTCTGACCCTCCCTTGCTCACGCTGTCTCTCTCTCTCTCCTAGAAATAAATAAAAAATATTTTAAAAAAATACTTTAAAAAATCCTTAGAAGTAAAGGCATAACATTAAAAGTAATGACTTAAGGGCTCTTTTAATGAGTGGCAATGGAAGCTTGAAATAGGTTAAGAAGATTTGAGTTAGTCTTAGAAGAGACTGTACATATTCTTTATAGATCCTGAAAGAAAATGAATTTATTTTCTTATTTTATATGTATTTAGGGGGAAAACAATAGAATAGTAGCTTTTAACATACTAAGAGGGAAACATAGAAACAAATGAATTTGTGGAGTCCCTGGATGGTTCAGTTGGTTATGTGCCCAACTCTTGATTTCAGCTCAGGTCATGATCTCACAGTTTGTGAGTTCAAGCCCTGCATTGGGCTCTGTGCTTACAATGCAGAGCCTGCTTGGAATTCTCTCTGTGTCCCTCCCCTGCTCACTCTCTGTCTCTCTCTCAAATAATAAACTTAAAAAAAAATTAAAAATAAAGAAACATTCAATTAAAAGCCCTCATACACTAGGATTGTGAAAAAATTATCAGGTATAATTAGGTTGAAATTTCAATGTATAAAGTAGTTCTGCTAAGGCCTCTTTATTTACAATCAGGGAAATGCAAATCTATTTTACTAAAGCCTATCAGAGTGTTTGTTAATACTAATATCTAGCAATTGTCCACTACATGTATAAAGGTTTTTGTTTCTTACGTTATATTAGAAAATATTCCCATGTTTATTGATTTCATTGAAAACACTATTTTCTGAATATTTTTCATATTCGCAATCTTAAAAGGTAATGCCTGTGGTATACTGTAGGGATTCTGTTTCTCTCTCTCTCTCTCTCTCTCTCTCTCTCTCTCTGTGTCTCTCTCTGTCTTTCATCTTGGATGTGTATTTCTTGTTTTTGTGTATGGTATAACATAGTAATCTAGTTTCATTCTTTTGCATGTGACTATCCATTTTTCCTGGCACCACTTATTGAAGAGACTATCCCCATTCCATGGTCTTGGCTTCTTTGTCCATAAACTAATTGACCATATATACATGAGTTTATTCCTAGGCTCTGTTTACATTGACCTATGTGTCTGTTTCTGTGACACTATTGTATACCATACTTACTGTTTTAATTACTATAGCTTTGTAACATAGTTTGAAACCAGGGTGTGATGCCTTCTGCTTTGTTTCTTTCCAAGATTGCTACAGGTATTTGGGATTTCTTGTGGTTCTGTACAAATTTTAGAACTGTTCTATGAAAAATGCCATTGGAGTTTTGATAGAGATCATGTTGAATCTAATTGCTTGCATAGTATAAACATCTAACAATACTAATTTTCCCAATCCATGAGCACAGAATATCTTTCTATTTATTTGTATCTTCAGAGGTCTGTAGCTTAAGCCAGTATTTTTTGATGGGTTCTCAGAAGAGTACCTAATTTCCCTGCCCTCTCAACATTTTCTAGTATAATATCTTTGCAAAATGACAGTCTAGAACTAGGACACACACTTGGATCAACAGATTCTTTAGTTGAGAACCAGCATTTAATTTTAGAAATAACTATTCCCTGGAGATTTGCACAGATGAAGCACCTAACCTGTTCTGAACAGTCTGGGAAGGTTAAAGGACAAATAGCTATCAACCAACCCCAAATAGGGAAAGAAGAGTCTTTCGTAAAAGATGAAAGATTTATATGATCTGAAGAGAAATCAGAGTAGAAGAGTCTTTTGTAACAGGGAGCATTAAGTGAAATATTCAGAGGCAAGAACAGGGTTTCAAAAAAATATTAGGAGTTAACTTTAATATATTAGAGACTTTGTCTTAAGTTCAGTACCTAGCTGTTCTATTTAACTGTCCACAGTAATCTGGAGTGGTGCATTAGATGCTGTTCTAGAGGGCAAGTTGAAGCACCAGTAGCACATGTGACAACTGGATTTAGGAACCTGTACTCTTTTTTTTTTTTTTTTTTAATGTTTTATTTATTTCTGAGAGAGAGCACGTGAGCAGGGGAGGGTCAGAGAGAGAGGGTGACAGAATCTGAAGCAGGCTCCAGGCTCTGAGCTAGCTGTCAGCACACAGCCTGACGCAGGGCTCGAACCCACGAACTGTGAGATCATGACCTGAGCTGAAGTTGGATGCTCAACCGACTGAGGCACCCAGGCGCCCCTAGGAACCTGTACTCTTAACCAAAGCATGCTTTCCTTCTTATCAGTGTGGCTGGAACTTGAACTGAAAGTGGGATCTATAAAAAATATTAAATATACTTTTGTTTCCTTTAGGAGAAAAGTAAATGTGAGTGGGGGGCATGGGTTCATAATATTCCTGAAGTTAGATAGCACAGTCTACTTCCCCTACTGTCCTGTATATACGCAGACATTCACAAATACAAGTTGTTCTTCAGAGTCAGGCAGAGAAAACTTAAGTGTTGGGAATATAGAAGGAGCATTGTAAACACTATGACCTCATGGAAGTTTGTTGCAGGTGCAACACAGATAACAGGCATGACGGGATGATCCTAGAGTAAACCTGACTTGTTTGGGGACCTAGCCATTAAAGAACAAGTATTACCTAAATAATTTTCTTTTCTTTTTTTTTTAATGTTTATTTTTGACAGAGAGATAGACACAGAGTTGTGAGCCGGGAAGGGGCAGAGAGAGAGGGAGACACACAGTCTGAAGCAGGCTCCAGGCTCTGAGCTGCCAGCACAGAGCCCAATGTAGGACTCAAACCCATGAACCACGATCTCTTGACCTGATCAGACGCTCAACTGACTGAGCCACCCAGGCGCCCTCTGAATACTTTTCCAGATATTTCATAATTGTTAAAATGGCAGTCAAAATTAAATTTAGGGAGTGAAAGCATTAATCCCATTAAAAGACATATGATGCTATTTATTGATTTGTTTAATTTTTTACTTTCAGGGAAAAACTCTATTAGATTCAAAGCATGGAGCTAGGGGAGAAGTTGATGATGGCTTGAGCTTTCTATTTGTTAAAGAGGTAAAGGTTGCTGAGCCACAGGAGGTAAAGAACTTAGAGACTCAGGAGGAACAATCTTCAGAGTGGGAGACAAAAGAATCCCCCGAGGAGGAAGAGACCTCAGAGCCCTCAGAGCTGGAAGGGGACGGAGAAGAGACCTCAGAGCTGGAAGGGGACGGAGAAGAGACCTCAGAGCTGGAAGGGGACGGAGAAGAGACCTCAGAGCTGGAAGGGGACGGAGAAGAGACCTCAGATCTGGAAGGGGACGGAGAAGAGACCTCAGATCTGGATGAGGAAGAAGAGGCTTCAAGGCTGGAGAAGAGGGGAGAAGAGGAGGCTTCAGTATTATGTGAGAAACAGGATTCAACCTTTCAGTGTCATTCTTGGGTGAATACAAAATGTGGAGTTGAGGAAAAAACCAGCAATGGCTTGGAGATTGTTTTAATTAAAGAGACAGAAGATTCTGAGCCAGAAGAGGAAGATTCAGAGTGGGAAATGGAAGCAGTCTTGTCGTGGGAGGAAGGAGAGGACTCTGAAGTAGAAAATGTAAAGCCTACCTCCCCAATTGAGAAAAAAGAGGCCTCATATGGACCTAAAGAAATTCCCTGTAATTATTTGGCTCCGAAGTTTGAGAAGGAAAAACTGGTCAAACACCAGATGTTACAGAAAATCCAGAATAAAGAAACTGCTACACCTAGAAACAGAGGAGGTGGGACAGTTTGTCCAACCTTGTGTTTGGCCTCTCCCTCAAAATCACTAGAGAGAAGTTCTAATAAGAAGAAAAGGCATTTATGTACAAAGTCAAGTACTCCATCAGGAATCCACAAATTTTTAAGGAAAATGGAGAAAGAGAGACAGAAAACTCTACAAACAGATGAGCAAACAGCTAGAGAAGCAGACTTAATGCAAGAAGCAGAAGAAAACTTTAGAAGAAGTGTAATTAACAACTTCAGAGAGATACAGGAGGAGGTTGCAAATATTAAAAATTACCTTCCAGAGGTCTTGGAAATAAGAAACTCGATAGATGTTCTCAATAACAGAATAGACATACTTGAAGAGAGAATGGACAATCTAGAAGATCGTATTGAAGAATTCTCTAAGGATACAATGCAAATGGCCAAACAGATAATAAATAGAGAAAGGTCAAGAGACATAGAGGATAGATCCAGAAGCTCCAACATCCGTTTGATAGGAATTCCAGAAAAAGATAATAACGAAAATGGAGCAGAGGAAATAATGAAGGAACTCATTGAAGAAAACTTTCCAGAACTAAAGGATTCAAGTCTTGAGATCGTTAGTGCTTACCGAATACCTAGTAAGATTGATAAGAAGAGACTCACTCCCAGACACATCTTGGTGAAATTCGGGAATTTCGGTGATAAAGAAAAGATCATAAAGGCTTGCAGAAAGAGAAGACAGATAACCTATAGGGGAACAAGAATCAGATTGACAGCAGACTTATCATTGGATACTTTAGATGCTAGAAGTAAGTGGAGCAGTATCATAAAAGTTCTGCAAGCAAAAGGCTTTACACCTAAAATCCTATACCCGGCCAAATTGGCATTCGATTTTGAAGGTAAAACAAAGACATTTTTTGATACTGAAGAATTTACAAACTTTATTTCTTGCATACCCTCATTGAAAGAATTACTGGAGGATCTACCTTAGCTTTCTAGGATGACTATAAATACATGCACACAATATATATTACCTTCTTCCCACAGCAAAAATCAACAGGGAAAAGGTGAAAATAAAATGCCACATTTCTACCCAAGAGGATGGACTTCAAACAATGTACTTGGGGAGTAGGGGAAGGGAAGGTTACTTTGTTGGCATAGTTAAAGGGTGTTTTAAAATTAGTGTTCATCTTCGTAGCTTGCATAGGAGTGGACTTCTAAGCTATTGGGGACAGGGAAGGAATCTGTCACTGTAACCATAGACAGGAAGAGATGGCGTAAAAGTAACAGAAAAGCATGGGGGAAAAATGACAGGATAAGTGAAATAGAAAAAAGATGGTAAAGTTGAACTTTTATCATGAGAAGAGTATTCAGTTTTATCATGATGTCAACCTTGAATATATTAAGTGTTTTTCCTTTGAGTATGCTTCATGTGCTTTTTTTTTTTTGTATTTTACACTTTCTAATCTATTTTGTCATTAATACAGTTAAGTTTTACATTTTATTACATAAATCCATGCAATGGAGAGGTGAATCTCTTTCCTAATGTTGGATATTCATGTATTTTCAATTGTTAGTCTAGGATAAAATGATTTGCAATGTATAGATAACTAAGAAGAAATTAAGAAAATGATGGAACCGTTTTACGGGTTTTGTTTCAAGGGCTTATTTAGTGTATTCAATTTACCAAAAAAGAATCTAATATTTAAAATCTACTTTCTTTTCTCAGTTCAGTCCTTCCAACTCTGGCCTTCATGGGCCTTTCTGCAACGTAATTAGCATTTTAAATGCCCTAGCCTCAGTATGCCTGGCTTTGAGTTCTAATTTTACTGTGTGACCCCAGGCAAGTTACTAATGCTTCTTGAGTTCTGTTTTTTCATCTCTACCTGGGTTCATTCCTCACGGGTGTCTTACAAAATTCTGCAAGATATTTGTGTCCAACATAAAAGTCCTCAGTAGTTGGGAAATCTGCTTCGTGGCCTTTAGATCTAAAGTAAGACTGGTTGCCCTCCCAGTTTGTTTTTTATTTATTTATTTAAGGTTTTATTTTAAGTAATCTCTACACCCAATGTGGGGCTCGAAGTTATGACCCCAAAAGCAGGAGTCACATGCTCTACCAACTGAGCCAGCAAAGGCACACCCCACCCGGCAGTTGATTTTAGAGTGAGCACCACAGGAGGCCATTTTCAGTTATGTTGTGAGTCTGTGGGTCAGAAAACTGAAGATACTAATCATAGGCACTCCATTATCGCTCTCCTTTGCTGCACTGCATTGCTATTACTGGCTTTCAGGGTTTTGAAAGAGCATGAGTTGGGGAGGGGAAGAGAAGGAGGGTTATAGGATCTGAAGCAGGCTCTGTGATGACAGCAGAGATCCTGATGCAGGGCTTAAACTCAACTGTGAGATTATAACCTGAGCCAAAGTCTGATGCTTAACAGACTCAGCCACCCAGGTGCCCTTCCCAGTGTTTCTTTACTTTTTTGCTCTGCTAATGAAATGATACAGGATGTTGAGAAAATAGTACTGTCATGTACCTTTCACCCTTGGCCCCCAGTGGTAAAAGATCTTGCAACTAGTGTTAAGTCACAAGGAAGGATTTTTCTTTAGATCCTTTGGAGGGAGCATGATCCTGTCAATACCTTGGCTTCAGACTTCTAGTTTCCAGAATTGTGTGTTTTTGTTTCAAGCCGCCTACTTTGTCATGGTTTGTTATGGCAGCCCCAGGAAACTTACATAGTTTGTGAACTCTTGTTTGATGCGCATGCACTGCTTTCTTCTAGACTAATAGCCTATTTTTGTAGAGATGTGTGGGTGGAAAATTATAGGAGGTCAAGGAACAATTCTGCTGATGCTGAAAACACTTAGTGACCAGATTAAGACAAGCCTGTTCTTCTGTAATTCTCTCCAACTCGGATGCTTACATTGACCTACTCCTACAAAGTCCAAACCCCCTTTCTTGTGGGATTTACCTGAGGATAGTATTTAAGCTGCTTTTTCCACTGGACTGTGGAGGGGTAAGAATTTTTAGCACAAAGTAGCCTGTAGTAGGGGCTCTGGCTGCTTCAGTTGGTAGAGCATGCAACTCGATCTTTGGGTTGTAAGTTTGAGCCCCAAGTTGGGTGTACAGATTACTTAAAAAAAATTTTTTTTTTGAGAGAGTGCAGTTAGGGGAGGGGTGGAGAGAGGGCAATAGAGGATCCAAAGCAGGCTCTGTGCTAACAGCAGTGAGCCCAATGTGGGGCTTAAACTCAGGAACCAGGAGGACCACGACCTAAGTCAAAGTCCCATGCTAATGTCTGACTCTTGATCTCAGCCCAGCTCATGATCTCATGATTTGTGAGTTTAAGCCCCACTTTGGGTTCTGCTCTGACACTGGGAAGCCTGCTTGGGATTCTGTCTCTGCCTCTCCCCTCCTTGTTCCCTCCCTCTCTTAAAAAAATAAAGAAGACGGGCGCCTGGGTGGCACAGTCGGCTAAGCGTCCAACTTCATCTCAGGTCATGATCTCACGGTTCGTGGGTTCGAGCCCCGTGTCGGGCTCTGTGCTGACAGCCAGCTCAGAGCCTGGAGCCTGCTTCGGATTCTGTGTCTCCCTCTCTCTCTGAGCATCCCTGCTCACGTTGTCTGTCTCTCAGAAATAAAAAACAAAACAAAAAAAAGTTGGTAATATCCTTTATTCCCTGCTACTCTTAAATCTGTACAAAACCTCTTGTAGTTTCCCTTTAATCTGGCCCTCATTCCTAGGTACCCTTCCCTGAAAAGGGTTCCCATCCAGTAATAGAAGTCATGTAGGTTGTTGATGTTATTTAAAGTATGTTCTTTTGTGAATGATGGCGTTTTAATTTATGTGAATGGAATTTGTGCTTTGGATCTTCTTTTACTATTAATAAAAGATGCATATATTGGTATGCACATAAAACTCAAAAGATTTCTAATGAATTTTACAATGTGCATCCACCCTATTTTATCACTTTTCTAGTGGTGGACACCCAGGCGGCTCCAACCCCCTCCTCTGTGCCATGCTGCTTCTGAACACCTTTGTCCCTGACCCCTTATGGACCTCAGTAAGAGTACCTGTTGGCTCCTGAAGTGAGCTTTTGCTTAATTTCTTTCAGTATTGCCAGCTCCTTCTTCACCGTGGTTCCGTTTTGTGAAAATGCATGAAGACCACCGAGATCAGGATGAACCCACAGTATTCATCCAGACCCAGCTATGATGGAGTCAGGCACCATGGCCACTATTTCGCACACTCAGAGGCTGTTGGGAGTGGGAAAACTTTATGTTGTTAAAAAAGGAAGGCTCCATCTGCCTCCGTTGACAGTTCTTGGCATGGGAAACTGCTAGCAGGACATCTTATGTTCTGGTTTTGGGGAGCATATGGGGTGTCTCCGGTTGGTCCCAAGTTGGAAATGGGAGCAAACAGGGAATTTGGTAGTCCTTGACTGAGTCTGACCATCCTCGGCCAGTTGCTACAAAGGTGGTTTGGCTTCTCAGGCTAATTGCTATAAAAGTTGTTGGTCAGAGTTGTGTTGCCACAAATACTTTGGTCATCATTTGTATATTTGACTGGAGTTCTCACTTCTACATCCCCACTCAACCTTTTTTAAGTTTTTTTATTGAGAGTGAGAGAATGTGAGCAGAGGAGGACAGAGAGAGAGAATCTCTTGAGAGAATCTCAAGCAGGCTCCACACTGTCAGTGCAGAGTCCAGTGCCAGGCTCAGTCTCACAAACTGACTTCATGACCTGAGTCAGGATCAAGAATTGGACGCTTAGGGTGTCTGGAGCACCTGGATGGCTGTTGGTTAAGTGACTTTAGCTCAGTTCATGATCTCGTGGTTTGTGAGTTCAAGCCCCAAGTTGGGCTCTGTGCTGATAGCTCAGAGCCTGGAGCCTGCTTGAGAGTCTTTGCTTTGCTCTCTGCACCTCCCCCACTCTTTCTCTCTCTGAAAATAAATGAATGAATGAGTAAATAAAGTTGGACGCTTAACTGAGCCACCTAGGTAACCCCTCACTCAACTGTCTAATATTTCCCGAAATAATGGGTGTAAAATAGTATCCCATTGTATATTTTCATTTCTCTAATTACTGAAGTTGAGAAGCTAGCTGTCCCTATATTTTTTAGTCATTTATGTTTCGCCTTCTGTTGCTGACTCATAACCTTTGGTATTTTATCAATGACCAAAAAAACCTCACAAAACTCTTTTTTTCCCTTAAGTAATCTCTACATCCAACATGGGGCTTGAACTCACAATTTCAAGATTAAGAGTCACATGGTTTACAGACTGTGCCAGTCAGGCACTCAAGGCTCTTTTCTTTTGATTGTTGATTTATAAGGCTTTGTATGTCTGGATAGTAATCTCATATTTTTAGAGGGTACAAACACATTCTCCCAGTTCATTACTCATTTGTTAATTTTGGCTGCTGTATCTTGTTTGAATAGAAATCCTTACTATTTTATGTAGTCAAACCAATAATTGTTTCTGCCTTCCGTTTTATGCTTTTAAGTATTCTTTTAAGAATTCCCTTCCTGGGATGCCCGTGGGGCTCAGCTGGTTAAGTTTCTGACTCTTGGTTTTGGCTCTGGTCATGATCTCATATGAATGAAATCATGGTATTTGTCTTTCTCTGACTGACTTCTTTCATTCAGCATAGTATAATCTAGCCAACTGAGCCACCCAGACACCCCTAATTTATTTTATTTTATTTTACTTTATTTTAAAAAAATTTAAATGTTTTTTACTTCTGAGAGAGAGAGAGAGAGACAGCATCATGAGCAGGGGAGGGTCAGAAAGAGAAGGAGACACAGAATCTGAAACAGACTCCAGGCCCTGAGCTGACTGTCAGCACAAAGCCTGATGCGGGGCTTGAACCCACAAACCGTGAGATCATGACCTGAGCCGAAGTCGGACACTTAACCGACTGAGCCACCCAGGTGCCCCTCCCCTCATTTATTTTTAATTGTGGTTACAATCACAAAGCATTAAGTTTACCATCTTAAACATTTTTAAGTATACAGTTTAGTGTTCAGTATATTCACATCGTTGTGCAACAGATCTCTACAACTTTATCTTGCAAAACAAACTGTCTTTTCCCTCTACCCTTTCTTTCCCCCAGCAACAGCTTTCTACTTTGTTTTTATGATTTTGATTACTTTCTTTCTTTCATTTTTTAGAGACAGTATGAGTGGGGGAGGGTCAGAGAGGCAGTCAATCCGAAGCAAGCCCTGGGCTCTGAGCTGTCAGCACAGAGCCCAGTGAGGGGCTCAACTCAAGAACTGTGACACCGTGACCTGAGCTGAAGTCGGCCACTTAACTAAGCCACCCCAGTGCCCCTGATTTTGATTACTTTA